CCGAGAATTTCAAAGTTAATGAGACATTCCTGACAGTTCATTTTGGAGAAAAATACAAATAGCGAAAAGATGACGAAAATTGAGTGCTCTTCAAAAAAAACTCAGAAATTAAAATATATGGAGCAGCCACCTGCCTCATGTTATTGGAGTAAGATCATCATTCCCTTAAAAACTGAAAGCCTTCACGGTGATACCTGTGGCATCAATAAAGTCACATGCCTGAATTGCAGTTTGGTATTTTATTTCCACGAGAACTACCACGCAAGTTTCGACTTCGAAAATGTGACCCACATAATTTAAAAAATTTATGTGTTCGTAAAATATCAGGATCAGAGCTTTTCAATTAAGTCAGCGCTATCCTTAATAAGAGTTAAAGTCTGTTAGTAAGTAGTGAAGAATAATAAATGCATGCCAGTGGTATTTTTTCTCTGTGTTGTGGTTGTTCATTTAGGTCACTTCAATTTGCTTGGCAACTCTCCGTCGAGTCGCAGTTCGCAGTTATTGATGTTAAATTACAAAAACCAACCAGGTCCCGCATGTTATACTTGGGCAGTCTGTTTCATTTTCTACTTATTTAATCGTTCGTTTAATCGTTAAATTTACAGAGCAAGGATATTACTGGATAGTCTCAGCTTGGGGACTGGTAGGTTTTCCAAACATTTAAAATGAATAGATTCAATAAATTAAAGTGAAAAAACTAACTATCAACATCAAATTCAAGAAGGTTCAATTTAGGAAAAAGGGAAAGACAAAATTAGCACTGGTAACAATTTACATCAAAGGGTAATTAAAGCAAACAATCAACTTGAATTTGGTTTATGATCAGCAATGACTAAACGTTGCGATAAAAGGTCAAGAAGGTCCTTAACTGACCTTGACACCAGGGGGAGATGTGGAAGGGGGGCTGGGGATGGCGGTGAATAGCTTCAATTGCCCTGTTCAGCTCATTGTGTTCGGTTTTTTTAATCGGAGACTTATTTCTCTCATAATGTCTTTCGTTATTCAGGAGTATGAATGGTTAACCACGGCTAAAAGGGAAATCTGAAGAAATGGAATAGGAAAAATGTACAACTACATCTTTCATGTTCTTCCAGCGAACTTAGATTTAATAATTTTCTCATTCAATCACATGTTAAGCTAAAACACGCACGGTTTTATTTTGGCTTTACATTGGCATACAAGGTATATATATAGGTCAAGTGGAAGATAAGATGTGCTGCTACAGTAGTTAAACTTAAAACTAATTTATGCATAACCGATGATCGAATCATTACTTTTTTCATCGCTGCACTTCACCCTCAAAACGTCTTTCCCTACCCAACGGTATAAATGGGTAACTGTAATCTGAAAGGATAATCTGATGTTCAATTGAATGAACATGTGCTATTAACTGCAAAATTATTATTTTCTAACAGTCTATTAGCCAAGAAAAGATGAAAACTGAATACCAATACAGAGACGTTACATGTGCAAGGAAACCTTGTCACTTCATTCGAGCTCCGCGCTTCAACAAAAGTTGGTCGACGCTGAATAAGAAGGAAACACTTAATGCTTACGACTAGATTTCAAACGAGTCTTGCATGTCATTTATTTGAACTCTTTAGCGGAAGATCCCATCCCTTCCCTGCACCGTAAATCCCTGCTGTTATGTTGTAACAATATCCCGATAAAATGAACATTTTGTTCTTGTTCCTTTAATTACTTGCACAAAATACTCAGAAAGAAAGAAGTGAATTAACTAGCACCAAAACCATAGCCATGTAGACATAAAAATAGTGCAAAACTGCATTATTTCGGCATGTCCTATGTTAAAATTTGTCGTTCGCTAGAAATGACAAATTAGATTTACTGGTGCGTTTAAAAATTTCATAAAACTGGCCAGAAAACAAAGAAAATATACTTTTATGATACTGGATTAAAGGCATTGACTCCATGTGTGGAAGACTGTCTCATGCTATTTACCAGGCCCTAACCAAGGCTACCGCTGTTAGTGGAGATAAATTGACCCGGCTTAGTCCTTCGCCGTAATTCTTCCGTTTCAAATACAATAATTGCTCTAAATCAAACCATACTGGCTTCATGTTCATTTAAGTATACCACACGCTTTCTATCCGTTAATCAGCGTAATAGCCCTGACGGAATTGGGAGAATTAAAAAAAGAGTTGTACATCACGATCCGAAGGCGCGTGATTATAACAACCTATTTGTATTTGAATGATAACTACTCAGGCTTTAGAATTTGAAAAATGCAAGTGCACTCCTTTTTTGCTTTTTATGTAAGTTTTGACCTACTTTTCATTATACCGCTTATAAGCTACTTTACCGATGAATCAATATACAAAACCCCTAATATATTGAGCAAACAAAGAATTCCTACCCTCTAACTGCTACAAAATACACTGGATTACCACTTTTTTTCCCCACACACTACTCTGACCAACCCCTCTACGAAAATACTAAATAAAGGCACGAAAAACCAACAAACAAATAGAAAACAAACTGGAGCTCTGCTTTTAGGCTTGATTAGATCTCTGTGCTATTTCTTGCAATGTAACAAACGTTTCATATGGAGATTAATAAAAATAATTATTCAAATATTAAAAAAAAACTAGTACAATATCCAAGTGGAAAACTAAAGAAAGCCTGTTATCTGACCACTAGATGAACGAAGGCTTAATTTCAAATGCGATCTATGATTTTTTTTTTACTTTATAAAAAGGCAATTGCAAGTGACTATAAAACTGCTAAAATGCTGCCTAAAACAGATTAAGGCTCTAACACCTCGATTAAAATTTCCGGAATTACATTATTCCATGAATGTTTTGCTGTTAAGTAGTCGGTCACTACCTTGCTTTTCGCTTCTGCTTCTTGCTGTGTCGCTCATCTTTGTCCGCTGTTCATATTCTAATTAAATTACATTAGATCCGCGATAGTTGGTAGCTCGCAGTCGACCAATGTGTCATAGATTTCTCCAACACTCAAGTGGCGATAGTTTCCCACAATGCCAAGGACAGCGTCCGAGGGATTCACAACTCTCTTGTCTAAAAAGCGAATTTCAATTTGGGAGAAACCCATCCTTTCTGCCAACACTTTCCACTCGTCTCCACCTGCGTAGAAAAACACGTTATGTTCTTTTATAAATTGTGTTATAATTAAAAAACAGATTTTGACCTTAAACCAAGCTCTAATGTGGAATGTATGGTTAAATGGCATAAATTACTGACATTTTCTTTGCGCCCGATATCCCATCAACGAAATTTAGTTCGCTATGAACTAATCTAGCCCGAATATGATCAGAAAACGCATCTGCAAAATCAAATCTTGTTAAGGCCCGACCTTTTTCGAGAGTCCTTTCTAGAGTCGAGAGACCACAACCTATTTTTCAATCAAAGGTTACAACTAGTTTATGGATAAATGGGTGTGCGGACGCCAGCCTAATTCCCTACCCGAAAGGCAGAGCGACAAATCCTTGTATTGTTTATGTGGCATGCAACCAACTGACATATCCTCATTCAACAACGGTCCTGAAGAGAGAAATATACAGAAAAAGAAGTTAAATGTAGCAGAATTTATTTTAGAATACTTAAAACAAAGACAAAAAAAATATATGTTAAAGCAGATCAAAAGGGCATCGACAGCAAATACAACTTGACAATAAAATCAAGCTCACGTCGACATAATTTTAATGTTGCATTGAGAGGACGCTTGTGTGAGTACTTCTTTATATCTTAGAGACCTATTCCCTTCCCCCGTGAGAGAAAAAATATCATTTTCTCAAACTCACCAGTAGTGCCAGCAGGTGTAATCTCTCGTAAGTATCTCACCAAATCATCCCGTTTCTCAGATTTAGCTCTCGAGGCGAGCTCACGAATCATACTTTTCGTCTTAGGCTCTGGAATGGCTAAAGATGCTGGTTCTAACTGCAGAGCCTCTTGAAACTGAATCACAATATCTTTGACATCACTTCCTGAGTTGAGTGGAATGGACTGGATGGACGTTTTGATACTCTCGGGCAGCGCAAGATCTTTCCGTTTCTTTCCTTGAAAATGATCTAGAACGAATTGAAATAACGAAATTAAATAAAATAAGAGAGAGTTAGGTTGATGGAATGTATTTTGGTTAAAGTCTGTTCCAGGAGAAACAACGGTATTAATGAAATTGCTCCTAAACTTATACCAGAAGGGATCTTGTTAACTCTTTCTTTAAGTACGACATTGTTATTATGATATAATGACATGAAAGATAGCGACCTTTACCTCCGATGGAAAATATGCCTTTCTCACCAAGGGAACCTCCATGACTTGTTGTGTGAAGAGCTTGCAGCTGCTAATAAAACAAATTAAATCCACTTTTAAACCAGTTTATAAAAATATCATTGAACTTAAAAAGTATTAGCGTCTTATCAACCCAAGGAAGAGGATGGGACTGGCAACGTACCTGATTCGTTGACATTCCAGCACCTTCCCCTTCTTCTCCGCCTAAGAACCAACATTCAAACTGCTTGACCCGAATACTGCGATTCCCAAGAAGGCTGCGTCCTTTTCTGTTACAATGTTGACGCTGTCTCAAATCAGATTCTGACAAGAAGTGTAGACACTCACATCCACGTGCGTCATGATCGCGGCATTTTACCGACCCTGGTCGAGAACAGACTGGGCAACAGACACACATATCGTACTTCACGTTGTTGAGCCAGTGAAACTCTTTCCGCATGCATTCGAGTATAAACCTCAATTTCCAGTGAACAGCACGGCATATATCGGCTCTTTTCTCGTCATTGTCTCCGCTGTAAACGGCGACTTCAATGGCTGTGGAATGGCACCAAAAAATAACGGAGATACCTTGGTCTGGAAGAATGTGAAACATGGCAAAATTATGAAACAACTCTGGGCTCACTTTGCTCTTCCATTCTTCACCACACCACTGGAGGAAATGCAGGATAAGTCGGGAGAATAGACCAGGAGGCACTCGACCAGATGCAAATGTTACAAAAAGAGATGGAACGTTTACAGAGTCGAGAAGCTGTAGGACGTCATCTGTTGGGGGTGACATCAACATGGACGGTACAAGGTACTGCTTGCTGTCTTTAGATGACGGCCAGGGGGAAATCAAGCTTAACCTCTCCATGATGGCAATGAGGCTCTTGTGACTTTCTTGGTTGTCGAGCAAGTCTCTCCAAGCATGATCAATGAGCTTTTCATCCAAGATTCCGGTTTCTTCAAGTTGTATCCACAGGTCTTTGACAGGATGCTCCGTGTGTTTAAAACGTCTTACAGTGATTACGTTTTTGAGGACATCAACAAGCCACTGAGGATCTAATATCACCATCCTTTCCAACTCTGGAGAGCCACTAAAATGAATCACAATTCTCTGATCATGCAAAAAGTTCAACAAAGTGGAAAACTCATCATCTTCTTGGATCCCGCAGTCTTCAAATGCAATCCACTTGGCTTCTTCACGTGTTATCCACTTGTCATGCTTTTTGCGAAGCTTGTTTTCATACCTCAACCACTTCACCGGAATTTCTTCTTTCGTCAGTTGCAGTTCCTTCGCAACAGCAAGCACCTCTTCTCTCAGTCGCTTAACTTCAGTACATTCTTCTTCACTGCCAGACTTTGTATTATCCACGACGAAAACATCTTTATACAGATGTTCCTTGTAGGTATTGTGCTGCAAAAAGCCGTACGTTTTTAAAGCAAGGCCTCTTGCGTTGGATCCACCAAACGGCACGTCAGCATGGGTGCATACCAGGAATACTGGGGGAAGCCTCCGTGGCACAACATTCGGAGCGGTCTCTTGAGAGCCTAGAACATCTGGACTTACCAAGGAATAAATTGATGACATCCAAAAGTCCAGATAATCAAGGTTTGTTTTACTGCATTTAATGTCCACTTTGTCCTCGAAAAGCCCCGTTTTGACAGGCGGGATGGCATTCTCGTCTGGATCACGACTCAAGTCAGACACCAATATATAGATAGCCTTTTCTGTGAGGAAAATTGGATGGGTTTCGTAGTACACTGATTGTCCGCCAAAATCCCACAGAACGAAGTATATGTTGTCTTCGTGGTTTGCATTTTCCTCCTCTTGAAGCATTTTTTCAACCAGCCTGGCTACTTCCTCGGGCAATTTTCTGTGTAAAGATTTGATACTACTTGAGGGCTTAGTTGGGCCGTGAGCTGAGCTTGGTCCATCTGGAGGCTCTAACTCTAACTCTGCATCTGATTCTGAGTCAGAATCCCACTTTTGCCGAAACCCTGTTAAATTTGCCCTTTGTGCCCTTAAATATTCACTGATCACTGTCGCTGCTGCAAGGTTTTCAAATTGATCTTCTGAGTCCAACTGTACTTCTCCCTCCACTTTTCCGCCTTTCCAAATCTCTGTTGATACTTTAAAGTAAAAAGAGTCAGTCTCTATTCCGACTGTGCTTTCCTCTTTTTCGTCGAAATTTTCTCCTTTTAGGGACTTTTTTAGACTAGTTTTTCCTGTCCGCTCCTGTCCGATCAACATCACTGGTATTCTCTTGATGCAGGCCTCTCCCCCCATTAAGGCTTTGTCATATGCTTTAACAGCTTGGGGACCTCGGGCATAAATTTCCAAAGGCACTGAAGATGCAATTTTTAACTCATGCGTTAGTGGGTATAATAACAAGTGGCTGTCTTACGTAAGTTGAAGAGGGGTAAGTTGTCTTTAAAATGTAATGCTACTCTCTCTCCTGGTGTTATTAGTTCTCTGTCTTCAGAGAGTCAGGTAATGAGATACTTCTCAGATATATATATGTATATATATATATATATATATATATATATTGGATCATGCATGTATGTATGTATGTATGTATGTATGTATGTATGTATGTATGTATGTATGTATGTATGTATGTATGTATGTATGTATGTATGTATACTTACAAATATCTAAAAATGGCAATTGGTACAACATAGCGATTATATGTGTTAAAGACCAAGCGTGGCTGAGTTTTTAACATGCGTTTTCTTATTGTCCGAAAATAACGATCTTTGTTCATTCCGCTCCATTGGATCAAAGCGGGAAATCTCGCCCAGATAGCCAATCAGAATGAAGAATTCCTTTCCTATTGACTACGGGCACTTCCAGTGCATAGTTAATCAAAGGGCGCCTGTGGCCAACTCGCTGATAAACTTGTAAAGAGATATATAATTGTAAAGTTGCAATCATTAAGCTAAGGTGTTAAAAAAAAAAAGAAAGAAGAATTAACCACTGCAAGTATAGAAATTTTAATACTTGAGTATATGATGTAAACCCCCCCGAGGGGGGTACATGGGTCATTTTTTGCTGGGTATGTGCAGCTGGCTTCTCAGAACCTCTGCCGTATTTTAGCCTATGTTGTGGCCAATTATAGACCAATCTTTGTCCGCTTTTGGGCACGACCGGAATGGAATGGGAGCCGTTTTTTAAATATTAAAATACGGCAACAACTTTTTTACCATGAATCTTCCTGTTTATGAATCCTTACTTGCCATAATTTTCTGAGGCCTAAATTCTCAAAAAATTGTACAACCTCATTCTAGTAACTCTATTGAAAATAGCCGAAATGCAACGCCATAAAAGTCAATGCAGTCTCCAGGTTGAAAACAACTATTCTACCCTGCATTGTTTATACCGTGATTGCAGCATTCTCATGTGCGTAAAGTGCTTGTATTGTATGGGAAACACACTCATGTTACACCAAAAAACCCGCGTGTAGCAGAAGAGGCCGATTACTCGCAATTTCTCGTAGTTTTGAATTTCCCATTTGTTTTTCAGGACATGTATATGCTTGTATTTTTTTACACAGATGCGATAGAAATTAGTTGGAAAAGCATTCCTTGAAATAGGAAGTCGTCGTGTATTTTGAGCAAAAAGATCGTCAAGTGATCAAAACAACACAGGCCAGATTATGGTCCCGTGCTCGGCAACGACTTGTAGAAACCGATTATATATCCCCCACCCACGCCCCCTCTTTTTCTTTTTTTAAAAGATGACAGCCAGAAGCGATTTTTCTGTTCGGAATATTGCTCATAAGAGGCCTTTCTTTTAAAGCCATACAATCTCCATTTGTTTGAAACTTTTGTTGTTGAGAACATGAGATGTAAACATCGTCAAAATATGCAAAATCAGATATTTAAGCTTTGTTCGTATATTGCCTCTATGGAAAATAGAAGCCGGCCCGCTGGGACTATTGTATTCAGCGACTAGAATATTAAAACCACCAAACCAGGCGCTTAAATTCAATCTACAGAATCAGTGAATGTTTGAAGAAACGCAGAAAAAACATTTCTCACTGTATTACTCTACAGCAAAAATGACGAAAACTTTATCAAGATAAATAATCGATAAGTGTATTTACAGTCACTCTCTGGACAAATTGAACGCATCAGAGTAAAGGGCCTCGAGCATAAATTTCAAGGACTGAAGGTGTAATCCTAAAACTATCCTTTAGCGGGTATAATTAACCAGTGGCCGTCAAATGTAGTGTTACTTTCTCCTCTGGCGTTGTTAGTTCTCTGTCTTCCGCGAGTCATGCAATGAGATATTTTATTACTTGCAAATAATCAAAACTGGTAATTAGTGCAACTTAGCGATTTATATGTGTTAGTAACCACGCATGACCGAGTTCATTAATAGGCGTTTTCTTATGGACCGGGACAAAGTTGACGTCCACGAAAATGCAGCCAAAAAAACCACAAAGAAAAAAACGAGGCTTATTTCCCGCCATCTTGTCCAAACAAGCTTGGTCAATAATGGCTATTTGCGATTCCATCGACAACGCCCAAAAATAACGATCTTTGTTAAGTCCAGACCGGTCCACGCAAATTTTTTTAACGTCATCATCATGGGCAATTCCGCTCGGATAGCCAATCAGAATACAGACTTCAGAAATATTGACAGGGGGCGCTGCCGGTATATAATTAAAAGCGAGTTCACTTTTAAGTCAGATTCTGCTGAAGTTAAAAAAAAAAACAAAACACCTGATTGTGCTAACAGTACTATTTAATCAGTCTCAGCATTATTTCCCATGACTGGTATCGCGTAACGTTTGGCCGTAAATAGCTGGTTCGATCACACTGATATCAGCCGCTAAAGCCTAATCAGTTTAGTTCTATCTATAGAGGATATTACAGAGATGCACATCCTGCAGTCGGGGAACGATTCAGCTTTATTTCTGAGCATTAAGCTACGTTATTCCAGTGTGTTTACTTTTTGTTGTTTACATTGTTGTAAATTTATAAGACGATTCGTAAACCAATTTAAGTCAATAGGATGTGCTATTATCAAATAGAGGAATTGAAACTCAATGTATTATTGAGTAAATTTGCCGTTATCAAACATACATGCATATCCAATGTGTAGTGCATAGAGTGAATATTAAAACGCTGTCAAAATAAAAGTTACCAAGATTCATTATCGTTGATAAGAAATAAATTACCTTCTGGCCTCTTCCTCTCCTCTAAAATGAAAACAAAATGACGAATTACGATAAGATTTGCAAAATCATCTCAATCCCTTAATGAAATGATATAGAGAACCTACAGATCTGGTGACTGAGAAGTCCATAATTTTTTTCCAATCATTGACCCCTAGGTGTTGCTATGATGCAAGACTAATTTACCCAAAAAACAAAATTATCTTCCTAACTCCAAGTGTGTATTGTAGACATAAAGAAAAGTTAACAGAAACAAATAAATGTTGTTGTTTTTTTTTTATCACAGAAATGTCTAATAAAGCAGAAGCTTTATCTTCCTCGCAACAACAAAACTAAAACATTCTACGTAAATGGAAATGCGGGACCAATTATAGCTCACATGGACACACAGTCAAACAATAACTTATGTTTACATTTACAGGCCTTAGAAACCAGACAAGTAGACGATCCGATTGAGGCCTTGAGCAACTGAACTTCTGTTTTTAGTCCAAGCTTTCGCCAATCTATGGTATCATCAGGGAATGTAAAGAAAACGGAAAACTCTTTACATTCCTGAACGATAACGTAGATCTGCGAGAGCTTTGAATAAAAAAAGAAATACAGTAGCTCAAGGTCTATTATGCATTTATACTAGGATGCTTAAATCAGTCTAACAATAGAATGTGCTCTGAGAAAATGAAGCAAAAAAACTACGGGGCATTTAACTGACTACACTTACTTTTATTGAACATATATACATATCCAATGTGTAATACATAGAGTGGATATTGAAACACTATGAAAACAAAAGTTACGAAGATTCATTATCATAGGTAACTAATAAATTACCTTCTTTCCACTTCATCGCCTCTAAAATGAAAAAAAAAAAAAATACGATAAGGTTTGCAAAATCATCTCAGTACCTTAATGAAATGATATAGAGAACCTACAGATCTGGTGGCTAAAGACTGCATAATTTTTTCCTAGCATTGACCCCCGCGAGGTGTTGTTACAATGCAAGACTAATTTACCTATTAAAACAAAAGTATTTTCCCAACTCCAAGTGTGTATTGTATACATAAATAAAAGTTAACAGAAACAAATGCAAGGGCTATTTATTGCAGAAAATGCCTCATAAAGCAGCGTTGTTGTCGTTGTTGTCGTTGTTGCCATTCTTTATGAGGTTGCTTGTTCACGAATTTTCTTTATCTTCTGAATCATAGCCTAAAGTGCAAGCGTAATGCGAGCCTCGAATACCAAAACAAGAAAAAACAAAAATAAAAGACAAACAAATTGACATTGACAGGCTAGTATTTTTTTACTCGTTTCTTTGTATTTCTCTTTTGCATTTTCCTTGCTTGAGGCTCGCTTGAAATTCACTTTACTTAGTGGAAAAGGTACAAGGCAAAAAAACAGGTAGCAGCATAATATTGTTGCTTGAGCTGCTACACCCTGGAGATGAAAAGCTCGCGCAAATAACATTTGGGAGACAACTGAAATACATCAATATTCTGAAAGGCTAACAGCGAAAAAAGTCAAAATGATTCACGTACTTCCTGCCGAAAAAAAAACCCTATAAATCACACCGTTTTTTCTGGGAAAACTAAAACATTCCGGTAACCCCAATGACAGGAAAAGGAAAAAAAAATAACATGGAAAATAATAGTCAATTTAGCAAAGCCACCTTCTTTACTCCTCAAATTCCGAGGTCTTTGATTGTTAGGTTTGTTGTTTCTCTGGAAATTTTCTGCTTCTGCATGTTTTGCGTGTTCCAAGTAAATTCAACATGCGTGAATTAGAAGTTCACATCGGTTACTTAAAATAATTTTCAAACATATTTTTTTCTGAATTAGGACATCAAACAGATAAAACATTAGCAGTTCTTCTCAACTGCTACTGAGGAAAAAACTTAGAAAGCAAAATTGTTAAAATAGAGCGCTTGTCAATAACACACGTAAATCAAATTCGGAACTTCTTTGCACAGGTTTTAAGTTTCTTTAAAACCAGCCATTGAACGCTTTGGCGCCTACCTGATTATTTCCGCAAAAAAAAAACCCTACAGTTGCTGTTAAAAGCGAAGAAGACCGAGTTCTTGTGGTTACTAGTCGGCCAAAACAGAAGCAAGTGAGTTTTTGTGACTTTTAGGGAAGCAATCGACGGCTGAACGATTGTTTGAGATCTGACATGAAACACGAGCCGTGGGAACAGTTAGAATTCATTGGCTGACTGATTTAATTCAATTACCTCATGTAAACATTATTAGTAGAAGGCATCAGTAATAATGCACACTTCTGTAGACGAGAATAATAGTATAATCCTGATGTTTTTCAGATAAATAAAACTAGTGGAATTCACTGCGGCATATCTGTTATTTCACCCAGGAAAAAGAAAGGAAATCTTTTATCACCAAAACATGCTCTCTGCGCTTTGAGGCAGGAGACTGAGAGGTTTGTTTTTAATCATTTGCATCCCACCGCGGAAGGAGCTATGAAATGTTGTTATGGTAAACTGACTGGGAAATAGACTGAGACTGAGAACTGGTAACTTTTCTCCGTTGATATCCTTTCAAAAGCTAAACTTCTAAAAGCTAACATCACAACATGGTTTTAAACTCGCTTAAACTTAATTCGCTACTACATGAATGAAAGCACGTTTGTCTCTTTGCTTTCTCTGTACCGTGTTTTCTTGTTGATGTTATTTTGTTATTGTCTGGTAAAAATTATAATAAGATGCTTAAATAGGTAAAATCACATGAAACGTGTTAAAAGAAAATCAAGGAAATGAGAGTAAATGTCCTACTGAGTATATTTTCTCTACTCAAAACAAACATATTTACCCACTGTGTAATGTATAGTGTAAATATTGAAACACTGTAAGATGGAAATTATTACAACGATCATACAAAACTTACCTCGGTGGAGCTTATAAAACTCTAAAATGGAAAGAAAATTAAAGTTATTAGAAACTTATAGTTCTCGTTTTCAAGAAAAACATCTTATTTTGTCGAAGAAAATCTTGACAAAACAATTTCCACTGTTGGTATTGAGTTTCTCCAAGTAATATTACAGAAAAAAAAAATATATATACATATATATTTATATATATTTATCACATAAACTGCGGTGTTATACAGGGATTTCCGGCCCTGAGAAAAGCTGTAACAACACACGTATCGTATTTTACACTTGTTGATATACCCAATCAGCTCACTCGCCTTTTAGCGCCACTCGGTTGATGAATGAAAGGCAAAGCCTTCACGATTCTTAATGCAAGTTGCTTGTCGGAGCTTCCTCGAATTATGGCGGCTAAAACACTAAAAAATCCGTATTGTTGACCGACAGTGAGGTTCAAACCCTTGAGAGGGGGGAAAACCAATACACTAAAAGAAAAACCGAAAGTTACCCATTCAGTTGCTTTGGTGTTAGCATTTCTCTCGGCTGAGAATGAAAATCGACAACTCGAAGATTTGTCGCTGGCCGATTATGGCTGTTTACCTGAAAGACTTCTTTTGTTGGTAAGGACAAAGTCAATAAATGAGAATTTGATAAATTGAAAATGACAACCAGTGTTGTTTTTGTAATCATGATTCAACGCATTTTTCCATCTTAAGAGTTAGCGCCAACGCACTTTACGATCATTATTCGGGGATTGTCGATCATTTATTTTCATTCAGTAATGAAGTCGGCTTTTCTTCTCAGTAAAGGGCTATTGTGTTCATATGATAAAAAAAATAATACATAGTTGTTCGTAGATATGGAATTTCTCTTCTCGTGTTCAACTCGATATCTATCACACTCGAAGAGAAATTCCATATCTACGCGCGCCCATGTATTATTCTCTCTCTCTATATACATATCCATATTCACGCTTTAAAAGTTTAGAATTACCGCGGCGCGAGTTAACTCTACTAAACGCGCCTCGTTTGCAGTCGCTGAGATATTGTCTCAGTGCCTAATGTATGCCTTAGCTTCGGAATAACCGAATTTTTCCTAGTCAGGAAAAAAGGCAACTCTCGCATTTTGAAGTTCGTAGTAAAATATACATAGGTCATAAAGGAGAACGTATACTGAAATTTTTATTTACCATGGTCCTACCGAAAACTTCTGTAAAAAAAAAAAAAATTTTTGCGAAATTTCATTCAACTTTTAAAACAGTGGGCTCTGAGGAACGTACAATAGCATGAAGAGAACACTACACTTCTTTCGTGCGCCAGCCGCTTCCTGCGTGCCTTACAACAGAACAGAGTACTGTCAGCACTTCTTTTGTTAAATAAACCACAAGCCGGAGACAAAAGTACAGAAATGGGGAGGTTGTTGTACAAATTGACCAACGTAACTACGTAATCTATCTAAATAAAACCTTTCCTACTTTTGTTTGTCATTTAGTGCACAGCTTGTAAGTCTGTGTGATAATGAAGATTTCAATAATCCACTGCCACAGATAGTTACCTTCCCTCTTTTTCTCCCTCAGTGAAAATAAGACAAAACTGACTAAAAAAAGTTACAATCTCGGCCTTCGTGTACTATCTGGAAGACTTTGTGCCGATAATGAAGATTTTTATGATTTACTAGCACAGATAATTACCTTCCCATCTCTTCTCAAGGTCTGAAAAGAAAAGAAAAGTGGAATCATGATAGAGTATGAAAATGCATCATTAGACTGTGTCATTGTGCTATACCTTCTTTATAAAATAAAAAAACTTTGATTAATTTAACACAATAGAATCTGCTCTAATAATATAAAGAATAAAAGAACGTGATTGTATTACTGAGTATAATACTCTTATAAAACATACACACATATCCAACGTGTAGTGCATAGAGTACATAAAAGTTAATAAGGTTCATTATTATTGGTAACAAATAAAATTACCTTCTCGCATGTTCTCCCTCACCACTAAAATCAAAACAAAATGATGAATTATGATAAGGTTTGCATAGTCACCCTAGTCCCTTACTGAAATGACATAAAGAACCTACACACTCTTAGCTGTAGAATGCAGCATTTGTTTATTCGGGCACTAGCCCCCGCGAGATGTTGTCATGATGAAACTCTGATTTACCTGAAAAAAATGTTCTCCAAAAACCAAGGGTGCGTTTCTTTGGGAGGATCCGGATTAAGATTTGTGATCCAAGATCACACAGATCACGGTGCATCAAAGGAACGGAGCTTTAGGGTGCCTTCCTTTGGGAGGGTCCGGATTAGGATTATTTTGTGATCCAAGATCATACAGATCACGGTGCTTGAAAGGAACGGAGTTTTAGACGAACTCTCAGAGAATTTCAAAAAGTGCGCAATTTGAAGACTTGTGTATGCATGTGGCTGGCTCGTCTAACTACAGGGGCTTTTAGCGCGCACAATTTTTCTAATTAGCACTATTCCTTAGAAGCACATTTTTTCATGGTAAACTCAAACGATGGAATTAAAACAGAAGCAAGTATTAATTACGATATGGATAATTGGGAACCCTGAATGCCTGCGATCAGTGGCCGATTGATTTAACATTGCAAAATCGAGTTTATTTCGTGTTTTTCGCAGAATTTTTCGTGACAACATGACAGGACGGATAATGCATACACTGTAAGTACCTCCCGTTGTTCCATACAAAGCCTTAGAAAAGTTTTCTAAGGCTTTGTATGGGACAACAAGAGGTACTTACAGTCCACGCGTTTTTCCGTCCTGTCATGTTTCCAGTCAATATATGAAGTACCTACTTGTTTGAAATTGAGCACCACTGGGAAAAATGATTAATTAATTTCGGATCCAATGATCCGTCTTTAGATCGCGCAGATCAGTGATCCAATGAATCCTTGTTCAGAGTGGATTTGATAGATCACTGATCTGAAAATGGATTTGCTCAAAAGGAACGCCACAGATCAGAATCCAGATCAGGATTCTCATAAAGGAACGCACCCAAAGTGTGTATTATTTACGTGAAGAAACGTTAGCAGTGTATCTTTAGAGGATTTTGGGTTCTTCAAATTCCCACGGAAGAATGTACGGCACTCGGCATCTGGACGGTATGCACACTATTTGAGGAAGATGTTTGTAGTTACGTCAAGTAATCCTTTATAAAAGCTGACCAATTTCTTTTTAAAAGATTACAGCCAGAAGCGATATTTCCGTGCGGGACATCGCACATAAGGGACCCTTCTTTTAAAGCCAGGCACTTTCCATTTTGTTGAAACTTTTTTCATCGAGAACACTAGATACAAACATGACCAAAAATATGCAAAATCAGATTTTTGAGCTTTCTCCGTAAATTGCCTCTATGAATAATAGGTTATGTAGGGGATAGAGAGCCCGACTGCTAACATCTTGACTTCGCGAACGAGACTTTTAACGCGAGGCTCGACTACTTTGCTTGAAATTTACGAAGAGCATCAAACGAGTCCCGCAGCCGTGGCGAAACGCCACATCATACCCGCCACGAATTTTTCCCTAGTAAATAGCGTACAATGTGAATATATCCCAGCGCTCAATGGGCGAATCGTGATTATTTGAACAAAGAATTACCTAATGATAAATTATTTGAACGTTTTAGTCAAATAGCATAGAATTGACTAGAACATAGCTACGCTGAAAAAGCGCATTGAAATCGGAAATACGAACAGAAACCTCTCGGATAGACCAGTCTGAAACTGAGGCTGGCACACACTCCGGTCGGATCGCCTAGAAAACTGATGCGCAGAAAAGGTGGGTTACAGATTCCACCAGATAAGAGTGCCGAACTAGGTCTCTTTAAACAACCAATTGTATCTACGAGATTCTTCCAATGAGGGAGGTCACTTTTACACTTAAAACGAAATTTAACTCAGAAAATTTTTTCCACCCAAAGGAACTTTCAGTGTCAGCACCAAAAAGTCAGCAGATATCAGCGACGAATCACCACGGCCACATTTAAATCTCTTAGATGCACCTGGGTTGTAGATATTGTCACAGGGTCTGGTTTATGCCGGCCCTACTTTCAGTATGTCCGTATTAGTTTTTTCCTAGTCAGGAAGAAAGGTGACTCATATTTTGAAGTTCGTAGTAAAATGTATATACGCTGCACGGGAAAATATAAGTTGTAAACGGAAACGAATCAAAAAGTATATATAATAGACTTTTACAGCAAGTTTCATTTTACTTTTAAGACACCGAGCTTTAGGGAAAGTACAATGGCATAAAAGGAACCGCGATAACTTTCAACCGTAAGAAAATGTTATTATAAAACTTGTATGTCAATTGAAAGTAACGGAAATATGAAGCGTATCAACTGTCACACATTTAAGTTACTGTAAACTTAAAAGAAATAAACCACACTTAGTATCGGTTTACCGGCGCAATAAACTACGTGGGAAATGTTGGGAGAACGCGAGAAAAGTCGTTAAACCACAAGCCGGAGACAAAAGTACACAAATGGAATTAAAACAGAAGCAAGTATTGATTACGATATGGTTACTTGGGAACCCTGAATGCCTGTGATCAGTGGCCCATCGATTTAACATTACAAAATCGATTTTATTTCGTGTTTAGCGCAGAATTTGTGAAGCGATTGCCAACAATCTTTCCAGTCAATATATGAAGTACCTACTTGTTTGAAATTGAGCACCGCTAGGAAAAATGATTAATTAATTTCGGATCCTTCGCCCAAAGGAACGCATTGGATTAATGATCCAATGATCAGTCTTCAGATCGCCCAGATTAGTGATCCGATGAATCCTTGTTCAGAGTGGATTTGATAGATCACTGATCTGAAAATGGATTTGCTCGAAAGGAACGCCACAGATCAGAAATCCAGATCCGGATTCTCCCAAAGGAACGCACCCTAAGCGTATATTATTTACGTGGATACAAGTTAACAGTGTCTCGTTAGAGGATTTTGGGTTCTTCAAATTCATTCGGAAGAACGTACTGCACTCGGTATCTGGACGGTATGCACACTATTTGGGGAAGATGTTTCTAGTTACGTCGAGTGGCCATTTACAAAAGCTGATCAATTTCTTTGTAAAAGATGACAACCAGAAGCAATATTCTCTTCGGGATATTGTTCATAAGGGATCCTACTTTTAAAGCCAGGCACTTTCCATCTTTTTAAAGACTTTTTTCATCGAGAACATGGCCAAAAATATGCAAAATCAGATTTTTGAGTTCTCTCCGTAAATTGCTTCTATGAATAATATGTTATGTAGGGGATAGAGAGCCCGACTGCTAACATCTTGACTTCGCGAAAGAGAATTTGAGCGCGAAGCTCAACGAATTCTTGAAATTTACGAAGAGCATCAGACGAGTCCCTTGGTCTTGGCGAAACGCTGCATCATACCTGCCACGAATTTTTGCACAGATATGATAATTACCTGAAGAGTAGACCCTACTGCCGGAAGTAACTGAAAAGAAAAAAACAGTGGGAATTATGGCCGGGTGTGGAAATATATCTCCATTGATTTTATGAGAACACCACACACAGGAGTGCAGAGTTGTCGGGTATGAGCTTTATTGAACTGGTGTAGACCATGTTTTAAAAGGAGGGAATTCATAGTCAGCAAATTCAACAGAGTCAAATTATCCAGTCGTACAGATACGATAATTACCTGTCAGGCTCGTCGAAGGAACTGAAAAGAAAGAAAAAAAATTTGAATTTACGACCAGGTATGAAAATACATCCAACACTCCGTTGATTTTATAAGAATACCACTGTACAAGAGCGATGAATTGTCGCGTATAAGCTTATTGAACGGGTGTAGACCATGTTTAAAAGGGAAGGAATTAATGGTCAGCAGAGCCACCAGAGTCTAGTTATCCAATCAAACTTTGTGAGCGTATATAAACCATAATAAGGCTCTCTCCGTAAATTGCTTCTTTGAATAATAGGTTATGTAGGGGATAGAGAGCCAGACTGCTAACATCTTGACTTAGCGAAAGAGACTTTGAGCGCGAGGCTCAACGAGTTCGCTTGAAATTTACGAAGAGCATCAGACGAGTCCCTTGGTCTTGGCGAAACACCGCATCATACCTGCCACGAATTTTTGCACAGATATGATAATTACCTGAAGAGTGGAGGATACTGCGAAGAGAATCTGAAAAGAAAACACAGTGGGAATTACGACCGGGAGTGGAAATATATCTCCGTTGATTTTATGAGAACACCACACACAGGAGCGCTGATTTGTCAGGTATGAACTTTATTGGACGGGTGTAGACCATGTTTTAAAGGGAGGGAATTCATAGTCAGCAAATTCAACAGAGTCAAATTATCCAATCAAACTTGCTGTGCTTATATAAACCATAATAAGGCTATTCATAAAGACTGTATTTTTGCTATAATTGATGAAAAAAGCCCGCATCCACATACGACTCTATCCTAACACTATCAATAGACTAGATTTTACGGAAACGAAAATCCTGATGCATGGATCCCTGCTAACACAAAGCATAACAGTCGATCAGTAGCAAAGCCTACCTATAAGGGAATAACATCTAATAATCGAAATGATAATGAGGGTCGAAACGCACCAATGACGGCGCACCAAAACACAGCAATTAGAACAAATCAAAGTGCTGTACATGAATAGCGACAAGTATATATTGCACTTTAAGTAGAGAGAAGAGAATAAAGGAAAGTTGTTCGGCTTTTAAATCTCGGTCTTGGAAAACTCATCTTATAGAATCAACAAAATAATTTCTATTGTTGTTATCGATTTACTCCAATTTAGTAATTATCCATATACACTAAATATAAACTGCTCTCCGAAATTTTCGGAAAAAAAATTCATTTGACGGATCAACTTTTCTATAACGTACATTACAAGCACGATAGGATGCATTTCTTTTCCCATATAATTTGCTAAGAAAGGAGAAATAAGATGAAAAAGCTTGTATTATTGATGCATGTTTTATCCG